CATGTCTGCAAGTTCATCTTCTAATCTTGAATTGTGGCATCAACGATTAGGACATGCACCTTATTCAGTTTTGCAATTTCTACATCCTAAACTGAATATGTCTAATAACAATCCACCTTGTGTTGTCTATCCATTAGCTAAACAAACCAAGACTCCTTTTCCTCATAGCAGTTCCCAATCCCATAATGTTTTTGATCTTCTACATATGAATGTTTGGGGTCCATATCGGACACCAGCTCATGGTAATGCTAGGTATTTCTTAACAATAGTAGATGACTATTCTAGGGTCACTTGGCTCTTCCTCATGCAATTCAAGTCTGAAACTTTTACCACCATTAAACTGTTTCTCCAAATGGTACATACCCAATACCATTTTACTCCAAAATGTGTTAGGACAGATAATGGGCTTGAGTTTTACAATAAGGATTGTCATGCTTTATTCACTAACAAAGGCATTTTACATCAAAGCTCTTGTGCCTATTCCCCTCAACAGAATGGGGTTGTTGAGAGGAAACAGAGGCACATTCTGTAGGTAGCTAGGGCCCTAAAATTCCAATATAATATTCCAAATTATCTATGGGGTTACTGTGTACAAACTGTTGTGTACCTAATAAACAGATATCCCACTCTTGTCCCTCATAACATATCACCTTCTAAAAAAAAAATTGGAAAACCTCCCTCTTTAGATCATCTAAAAGTCTTTGGTTCCTTGGCTTATGTTGCCATCCTTACTTCTAAAGACAAGTTATCCCCAAGGCTTGTTCCGTGTGTATTTTTGGGTTATTCCCTCACCCAAAAAGGCTATTTTCTTTATAATCTTTCTTCACGTTGTGTCACTGTTTCTTGAGATGTTTTATTCTATGAGTCTACATTTCCTTTTACATGGTCTAATTCAACACAGTCTCATTTTCCTATTGAAACTACTTTTCTTGATTTGGAGTCAGATCAGTCTCGTGTAATTTCCCCTTCTCCTGCTATTATCCAGATCACGCACCTCCCTCATCACCTCCTGCTACTTTCGTTGATCAGCCTAAAACCATTGACTTACATTAGCCTATTCCTTCCCTACCTATTAGGCAATCCAGTTGAGTTACTAGACCTCCAATCTGGACTTCAGATTTTATTTGTCTTACCATTTCCAATCCTTCAACCAACCTCTCCAATTTTCCATATCCAATTTCCAAATTTATCTCCTATGCTCATATTTCCCTTACTTACCAAGCATATTTGTCCCATCAAACTCTGGTGGAACCTTCTAGTTTTTCTCAAGCCTCTCAAAATCCAAATTGGGTGGCTGCTATGCAGAAGGAAATCCAAGCCTTGGAACACAATCCCTATAAGTTGTAAGTGGGTATACAAGCCTAAATATAAAGCTGATGGTTCCTTGGGAAGGTATAAAGCAAGGTTGGTTGCTAAGGGATATACTCAACAAGTTGGCATCGATTATGATGAGATTTTTTCCCCTGTCATCAAAATGGTCACTGTTAGAACCATTTTGACATTAGTTTCATTCCATGATTGGCCTCTTTATCAACTAGATTTTGATAATGCTTTTTTGCATGGGGATTTACATGAGGAAATATACATGAGTTTGCCTCAAGGATTTGCAAAGCAGGGGGGCAGAACACTGTTTGTAGGCTTCACAAATCCCTCTGTGGATTGAAGCATGCTTCTAGAGCCTGGAATTATAAGCTAACACAAGCTCTTATTGCTGGAGGTTTTACTCAGTCAAAGGCAGATTATTCTTTGTTTATCAAGAGAGCAGATTCTGATATTGTCTTATTATTGGTATATGTTGATGACATAGTAATCACGGGAAATAATATTGATATGATTCATCAGACCAAATAGATGATGCAATCTAATTTTAAATTGAAGGATTTGGGAATGTTGAGATACTTCTTGGGGTTTGAGGTTGCTAGATCTTCTAAGGGTATCAACTTATGCTAAAGAAAGTATGCATTAGAGCTCATTTCTTAATTAGGTTTATCTGGTTCTAAACCCTCTTCAATTCCTATGGAATCTAATTTGAAGCTCACATCTGTTGCTTATGATGACATATTTCCCACTGGTAATGATCCTCCACTTCCTGACCCAAGTGTTTATCAGAGGTTAGTAGGGAAACTGTTGTATTTGTGCATGACACGACCTGATTTAATCTACTCTATAAACTTGTTAAGCCAATTCATGCATAAGCCTAAGGAATCTCATTTGCCAGGTGCACTTAATGTTGTTAAATATATTAAGTTAGCTCCAGGGTTGGGTTTGAATTTTCCAGCAGAAAACACTATGGAATTGTCAATCTATTGTGACTCTGATTGGGGTTCTTGTCTCATGACAAGAAAATCAATCACAGGATATTGTATATTTCTTAGTAAATCTTTGATTTCCTGGAAATCCAAAAGGCAAGCAACTATCTCAAAATCAGCTTCTGAAGCTAAGTATAGGGCAATGACTTCTATTGTATGTGAGATTATGTGGTTGGTGCAACTCCTTACAGAGCTTGGTTTTCCTAAGTTGGTTCCTATTCCTCTCCATTGTGATAACCAAGCTGCAAATCACATAGCGTCTAATCTCATGTTTCATGAGAGGACAAAACACATTGACATAGATTGTCACATTGTCAGGGAACAACTCAAAATTGGACTAATCAAGACAGCTTACATTCCTTCTTTGGAACAACCAGCCAATATACTAACTAAAGCTCTTGGCAGCAGTTTACATTGCAAAATGTTACACAAGTTGGGGGTTCTTGATCCCCTCCAACTTTGAGGGGGTATTAACTGTATGTATTGTAAATATTGTAAAGTGGTTAGGTGCTGGTTAGTTAGTTGATGGTTAGTTAGTTGTCCAGTTAATTAGTTGGTTTATTGAGTTAACTAAGCAAGTTGCATATTTTACCACTGTAGTATGTAAACAGAAAATGTGGAATAATAGAAGCAATACAAATTTTCCCCAAATTTCTTCTTCTTCAGTGCTCTCATTTTCTCCAACAACTAACATTTAATCCCCTTATACACAATTTATGATTCAAAATTATACGAATAACTTGTTATCCTAAGTTGAATGTTCATAGACATAGAGTGAGTGGTTGTTTTACAATGGCTTCAATTTTTTTTGGTTTTTTGTTTTTTGGTAACTGGGGTGTTCGGGTCAGCTTGCGTGTACTTCAACTAATCTTCGAGGTCCATTAAACACCTTAAAAACCCAATGGGCTAGTTAAGTCACAAATGTGGTAGATAGCCATTTTCTAAGACTCGAATAACTCACCCAGAAGTCTTGCCATATGGCCACACACCAAGTGGTTAACAATGGATTCAATTGGTTTTGGTATTTCATAGGAAGGAATTAAAAAAGAGCAATGATATGCTTACAACTGAGTTATACAAATAGACAAAAAACAAAGAACATAGTAGTCATTTTACGTAAATTTTGTGTAATTTGTGTCTATTTGTATGACTCGGTTGTAAACAAAACATTATTGATTTTCAAGATTAATAATGCTTCTGGTTTCCCTAATATCCATTAGATATTTTGATCTAAAACACTATTGCTTTTTATAGAAAATGTCGTCTCCATTGTGAAAAAAAATCTTTGATTGAACTCATGCAAAATTATCACTTTCAAGAACTTGTAATCCAATCCAAATCCCAGAATAATTTCATATTTTAATCATGATTTAAAGAGCTTGTTCACGAGATGGAACCTACAACTACCCAAATTGTTTTAATTATTTTAATTTTTTTCTCAAATTATAATACAAAACAAAACAATNTGTCAGGGAACAACTCAAAATTGGACTAATCAAGACAGCTTACATTCCTTCTTTGGAACAACCAGCCGATATACTAACTAAAGCTCTTGGCAGCAGTTTACATTGCAAAATGTTACACAAGTTGGGGGTTCTTGATCCCCTCCAACTTTAGGGGGGGTATTAACTGTATATATTGTAAATATTGTAAAGTGGTTAGGTGATGGTTAGTTAGTTGATGGTTAGTTAGTTGTCCAGTTAATTAGTTGGTTTATTGAGTTAACTGAGCAAGTTGCATATTTTACCACTATAGTATGTAAACAGAAAATGTGGAATAATAGAAGCAATACAGATTTTCCCCAAATTTCTTCTTCTTCAGTGCTCTCACTTTCTCCAACAACTAACATTTAATCCCATTATACACAATTTATGATTCAAAATTATACGAATAACTTGTTATCCTAAGTTGAATGTTCATAGACATAGAGTGAGTGGTTGTTTTAAAATGGCTTCAAATTTTTTTGTTTTTTTGTTTTTTTTTTTGGTAACTGGGGTGTTCGGGCCAACTTGCGTGTACTTCAACTAATCTTCGAGGTCCATTAAACACCTTACAAACCCAATGGGCTAGTTAAGTCACAAATGTGGTAGATAGCCATTTTCTAAGACTCGAATAACTCACCCAGAAGTCTTGCCATCTGGCCACACACCAAGTGATTAACAATGGATTCAATTGGTTTTGGTATTTCATAGGAAGGAATTAAAAAAGAGCAATGATATGCTTACATCTGAATTATACAAATAAACAAATAACAAATAACATAGTAGTCATTTTACGTAAATTTTGTGTAATTTTTGTCTATTTGTATGACTCAGTTTTAAACAAAACATTATTGATTTTCAAGATTGATAATGCTTCTGGTTTCCCTAATATCCATTAGATATTTTGATCTAAAACACTATTGCTTTTTATAGAAAATGTCGTCTCCATTGTGAAAAAAAATCTTTGATTGAACTCATGCAAAATTATCACTTTCAAGAACTTGTAATCCAATCCAAATCCCACCATAATTTCATATTTTAATCATGATTTAAAGAGTTTGTTCACGAGATGGAACCCACAACTACCCAAATTGTTTTAATTATTTTAATTTTTTTCTCAAATTATAATACAAAACAAAACAATTTGGTGATGAATGAGAAGTGAATAATACTACAAAAAACATATCACGAGTCACTACAAAACAAATCCAACCCTCATGCATTCACCTCTTTCTTCTATAAAATCCACACCTTTTACTCAAACCCAACTGATCTCTCTTCCATTTTTATTCTTTTAATTAATTTCACCAACAATGTTTTCCACAAATCCTCAGTCCTTGAAGTTTGCTCTTCTTCTCTTCTCTTTCTCCTTCATTGCTTTCACCTTTTCTTCTGCCCCTGTCTTTGCCCTTAACATTGGTGTTCAAGCCATAGATGCAACTGTCTCTGTGGTCAGATTTAGATTCCTCTTTATTTTTCATCTTTATCTCATTCACCAAGAGTAATCTTCTTTGTGTTTTATGTTATCATTTGCAGAGTAAAGAGTGCAGCCGAAAATGCGAATCCGACTTCTGTTCAGGTATCATATTCAAAAACTGTTTTCCGGTCAGAAACTCAGATTTTACACTTCTGTAGATGGTATCTGAAAACCCTTTTTGGAAAGGGTGATTTTGAATTTTTTTTTTTTCTTTTTTTTTTTTTTTTACACAGTGCCTCCATTTCTGAGATATGGGAAGTATTGCGGGCTTCTATACAGTGGATGTCCTGGAGAGAAGCCCTGTGATGGTCTTGATGCTTGTTGTATGAAACATGACGCATGCGTTCAATCTAAGAATAGTAAGTTTATCCTTAAACTTTGTTTTATTGAAAGAAATATTAATCATAAAGTCATCTTCAACAATGGCCCCCTTTGAAATAATATATCATACTCTTATTGGTACTTCAGACGAAGGATAGATGGTACATTATAGACATTATGTGGTGCATAATGCAATTCAATTTCTTTTTTTACCTAAGTTGTACATTGACCCTTGAGACATTTTGGCTATGATCATGTGGGAGTACTGAGGGTATATATATGTCTTGTCACAAGACTAAATGGTGTGCTTGAGGTTGAGGACACTCTTCTTGGATTTATACAAATTTCCAAACTCTCATTCTGACCTGTGTGACCAAGATATTCATAGTTGAGTAAAACTACAGCAACACAGAGAAGATATAAATAATATATTGTATGTGTCGGTGGTTTGGTTCATAGGCATCTAGAAGCCCTTCAAAATATGCCCTTCTATAAACATATAGTCACCGTTGATGGTGCATGAATCAGAGTCATTTTCCATCTCTCATTATTTAATCATTTTCTTCCCCGGATGCCTTTGATCCTTGGGTAATTATTAATGTCAATTAATTAAATTTTGAGTTCATTATTAGATGAAAAAGCTTCCCCATTGTTAGAAGTTTGGTAGATTGTTATTACTCTCTTCCCTTAGGCTAACTTTTGAAAATGAGTTTTATTCAAGCTCGTTTATCATGATATCAAAGTCATATTTATTTAGGACAATGATGACCGTGCACACCGAGTGTAAGGGAAGATATTAAAAGTTTGATAAAATATTATAATGTATATAACATATATGGTTGGATTTCCTTCTTCTTTAAGCTTTTAGGAATGAATTCTACTTAAGCCGTTTATCACTCATATCATGTGATATTATGTGAGCCGATAAGATATACATTTATATAAAATTGGGATTTTGAATAAGACGATATTATTTATTTATTGTTAAATATTAAATTAGTTTGAGATTATGTTAAGTTTAAAGTGTTGTAAATGCAGATGATTATCTGAGTCAAGAATGCAGCCAAAACTTTATAAATTGCATGACAAATTTCCTGAAATCAGGAGGGCAAACATTCAAAGGAAACACATGCCAAGTTGATGATGTTATTGAAGTTATTTCTGTAGTCATGAAAGCTGCTTTACTTGCTGGAAGAGTTCTTCATAAACCATAATTTTTTTTTTTTTTTTTTTTAATCTCAAAATTGGCAAACCAGTTATGTATTATTGATTCACTTTAATGTTCTTTTAAGAAATTTCTTGCATTATTCTCATGTAATTGTTTTGACAAAATGAATGCAAAAAGTTGAATTTTTTATTTCCAAGATCTGAAAATGAAAGCCTAAATATGGCTTAGTTTATACATTACTTCCAAATTAATGCATTGAATCTCACAGCCATCCTATTTCACCAAACTCACATATAAAATTAAAAATATTATTGAAATATTGACAATGACTTGCACATGGGGTGCAAAAATTCAGTTGACTTCATATAATTAGGTTAAATATACAATCAACCAAAACTATGAAGAGGGTTTGCTTGGAGTAATATTAGACTTATAGATTACTTGACAAACTCTTTTCTACAAACTGATTAGTTTAATTGTCTTATCAACTCAACACATCATATATATGTTACTGAGAAAGAAGAAGATGGATTTAGATTCAAATACATGAGAACCATATGGGGAACAAGAATAATCTTTCTTGGATTACTTTTTTGAAAGAGGACACAAATTTCTTGAGTAAGAAAATATTAAAACCATTCTATCTAAAATACTCGTGCAGAAAGAACCGTAATGAAATGTACAGAAAAAATATCTTTTACCGAGAAGTAGAGAGTTTGAACTTTGAACAAAGAGTTTGATGGAAATATCTATTTGTGATGGAAATAGAAATAAAAAAGAGTAATGCTAGCCTTACTCACTCTTCCTACTCATTTCTCTTACTCACCTTTGTTAAAATGTTAGCCTTATCCACTTTTTCACTTTTTTAACAAAGGTGAGTAAAAGAAGTGAGTAGGGAGAGTGAGTAAAACTAGGATTATTCAATAAAAAATAGAAGTTTCCAACTCTTTGTCTACTTTGTACCCCAAATTTCAAGCTACATCACGAACAAGTAACTAAAACTTTGACCCAGCTATGCAAAATGGAGGAAATACATACTGCATCAATTATATTATTTTAACATGCAACTACACTGCAGATTTTTTTTTCAAGGTTTCAAACAGAATGTTTTCAAAATCAAGAGCAAAGCAACTATCGTCTGCAAGACACAAATATGTGATACACAGATTAGCTTGTTCACAAGACAAGCTGTGTGCTGTAAAGCTAGCAAAGCAACTTAAAAAGAGACTTGAAAAAAAAAGGGAAAATCTAAGATGTGTTGGATTATGAAATCACCCAGAAATTAAAGCTACAGAGTAAAAATGGAGTGACTGTGTGGAAGTTCAGATGAGAAACTAATGTTTGACTTGTGCTATAGATTAAGGAATATACTGCCAGTAAATAAGTCCGGACCAATCAAGAATCCCCAAGGAATTCCAAGAATTTTAGTTATACACACATTCCAACCCTCAACTCTCTTTTCTAGGTTCATCGATATTGAATCAATCGAACACACTTCTAACACTGGTTCTATTGAAAGACCCAGCGTTATAACACCAGATGGTCCAGATATTGATTTTTCATATATAAATTTAAGTAATATATTTCCTTCATAAAGGATTTTTACATAATACCTATGCTTTTGCACATTTTCATTAGTCCATGAACAGGGTCTACATAGATGCATGGATCCATACATCTTGATTGGAAAAGAATCAATAGAAAAATAAAGGATTGGAATTGATCGAAGCAAGAAACGAAACATGTCCAACTAAATATAACAGTTCCTGGTGCTATATCATCTATTGAACCACAATCACCTGGTTGTGGCACATAAATGAGGCTAACAGGAGCCATTGTTATTGTCAAAACAATCTATTCAAATCAAACAGATTGTTTTGATAAAAAAAGTCATGTCTGAACTCCAGTCTGAATTTACTCCACTCTTAGTATACTTTCATTTTGGTTTAGACGCTGTTCAACTATCACTTTCTAAGTTTTTATGATGAATTTCCAAACTTGTCTAGTATCCCTATACACAAACACAAGAGGAGAGAGAGGTAGCAGAATAGAGTATATATTTAATCACATTGGAATCTCATTCCAAAGCTTAAGCTGTAATAACACCAGTACCAGAGACATTCATCAACAGTAAATCTACTAGAAAGTGTAAACAAAGGCTTCGGTAATCTACATACTCCACACACATTTATTCATAATGAAAATAGAGGAAAAAGACATAAGATTATTACTCGAAGTTATAGTGCTTGTCCACAGCGACTGAAACATCCCAAGTGCAACTCATTCCTTTTGGGAACACAACCAAGTCACCAGCACCAATCTCAACAGCCTCATTTGAGCCATCAGGATAAACCTTAACTTTTCCCTCCAGCAGATAGCATGTCTCTTTCGCTGAGTAAGTCCAAGGGAATTTGCTTGGCGGACAACCCCACCTGCTCATTCACAACGGCATCAATCAAACATAATCGGCATGAATCGACGCAGTTGCATCAATATCATACATAAAAATTCCCATCAACTACTAATTACAGAACCATGAACAAAATGAGGATTAAACATGAACGCAAGCGAATTTTCTTTTAATCTAGAAGAACCCTCTTCTTGTCAATCATGAACAAGATGCAAAACCGACACTCAATCACACTCAGTCTCTCCTTTTTTCTCCTCAATACTGCAAAAGCAACCCATCAAGTACCTAAGATCAAACAATTGCAAGTCATGAGCTTTAAAAACCAAAGTTCAAGGTCAAATGAATTGATCAAAATTCCCATGTCTAAATTTTCATTTTCCAACTACCCTTTGCTCCAAGGAAGACAAACTCACAGGGAAAAAAAAAATAAGAAAGGGGCCATCTAGAGTTGTGAAGACTTCATAGACCCACAAAAATCTCAACACAAAATACATAACATTACTGAAACTTCACAAACAATAGATAATGAAAAACCTTAAACCAAACAAACAAACACAAAACCAAAATACAAAAGTAAACAAGATTCAATTTTTCTTTCCTTCCACTATCTTCTTGGCATAAAACAAAGCAACAAATCATGAAAGTTCAAATCTTTACCCAAGTCATGAACAGATATAAAATAAAAAAACAGAACTGGAGAGGCGAGTGAGTTACTTGGGCCATTTTTTGACACCGAGCTCAGTGAGTTTGGACTCAGGAGGGTTCCTCTCAATCTTCACACCCAGCTTCTCAATAGTCGTAGACATGGTCTCTGCTCTCACTCTCATTGACCTTGTAGTAGTTAAAGATAAAGAGGGGGTATGATTAAATTTTTTTTGAAGTTTAGAGGGTTGTTTTGAGAATAACAAACTAGTATTGATACTTGCACTTGCACATGCCATTGAAGGAGTTTTGGTATTGTTGTAGAACAAGATGATGTGTTTATTTATGTATTAAAATATGGTTCTTTTGTGCTTCTTATTATCTAATTACAAAAATATAATAAAATAAAATAAAATTTGTGGTGAAACTCCAAGGTGTGTTTTTATTATAAAATCTTAATAAACGTGAACCTTTCATTCCTCATCTATTTCTCGTCAATTCATTACTAAGTAATATTACACCTACATCATTTTCATACAATATTTCTCATATATTATTATGTAACAATATATAATTGGTTAATTTAAAATTAAAATTAAACTTTCACCCAATTATATTTTACCACATAATATTATACGATAATGATATATGTATAGTATTATTCTACTTTTAGAGGGTCATTCTATGATTTTGGGGTAACTCGTTTGGGCTCTTGAATCAATTTCTTTTTCTTTTAAATAGAGTGTTTATGCCCAGCTTGCATATACCTTGACTAATCTCTATAAATGATCTCATCGCCATAATCATTTAATTAAATCTTGAGAACCAGCTCTTTAATCAATTTCTTTTAGAGGAAAATCTAAGGATAAAAAATGAGAATGGGAGGTAAGATTTGAATGGGCAAAAAATCATCTTGCGCTTGATGAGACCCATAAACGAAATAAATATGTCACAACTCAAGACCTTAACCCAATTTCGATTAGACCTAAACTTAAAGTCACTTTATGAACTGCCCACTTTATAAATTAGGGTATCCTACAAGTTAAGTTAAATAAGGTTCCGGCTAAATTATAGATTTTTTGCATTTACAAGATTACCTCTAAAATATAGTATCGGGATAATGTTATCTTCCCGTAATCAATTATAGATCGAAGGTTTTAAAATGGGTGTATGAATTTCTTTCTAAGCCTCAATATTAACTTTCTAAAAAAATATGTATTTTTTTGAACCTATAATTACAAAGGAGGGCATATATTCTTTTGATATACCCTTAAAATACAATAATAACAAAAAAAGATTTATTAAAAAAAAAAAGAGATAATATTATTTTAAAAATAATACTGAAATACATTGGGTGGCTATTATATAATGCATAATTTGTGGCATGTAAAATGATGACAACATATGAAATTTTGAATATATTATCATTGTAAAAAGTATTATTTATTCAAAATGAGCTCACGTGCGTTTAAAGCCACGCCAGTAGAAAAGCTGAAACCCAAATGGCCCAAATGGCCCAAATCTATTATACTTGTATCCTTAAAAGACCTGGTTGACCTCGCAAAGACCCCTTGACCAGGGCGGGTTCAAGGAATTCCCTAGGGGTCGGGGACAGGCCCGGGAATGGGATCCCCAACCCACGCCCATCCTTGTTGTGTCACTATTGGATGTTTAACAATTATAAAAACTAACTTATTAAGAGCGCATTTGGATGAAGGGATGTTTTATTATTGAAAATATTATATTAATATAAAGATAAATTACTTTGAAGATTATAAGAATATTTGAAAAAATTTATTTTTTTAAGTTCGAATAAATTGGTTGATATATTATATTGATATGTTTGGTTAAGAAGTAGATGAGTGAGTATATTATATAAATTACAAAAATTTTTCATTTTAAATATTAATATAATATTTTTTTTGAATCGTATCTTTTAAACTCCTACATTTGAAATTTTGTTAAAACACCATAATTATATAAAACTTTAATTTATAGCAAAATTACCCCTACCTACTATCGGTAGCCAACCATTACCGCCAGTAATTGTTGGAATGACGCAAGATCAATCGGATTTGATCGATAAA